TTCCTGCTCCGAACGCTGCCCAGGGAACTTTTACGCTCCCTTGAAGTGGTGCTTGTACAGGAGTGGACCAGCACTTGTGTTAGTGGCAGGAGTCAGCGTTGTCCTAATTAAGTGGTAATGCCTAACTATGAGCTGGGGGCAGTTTCTGGCTCCTTGTTTCAGCCAGTCACTTCCTTCTCTGAAGCCAGTTGCTTCCATGATCTCCTCAAAATGGGGATGGGAGAGAGAGTTTCTGGGAGTCTTGTGGTGGCACTGCTGGCGGGATGCTTGTGGTCCCCACTCTCGATGCAAGAGGGGGTTTGTGCCTGGAGGCAGACACTGGTGTGGCGTGTGCGGTGGGGAAAACCAGGGTCCCCCTGCTTTGCCCAGGGGCAAAATATTAAAAATGGGCTGATTTCTGGGAGCTGCTTGAGGACACAGTTCCCAGCGCTGACCGCGGGCAGCAGGGACAAAGCAGTCTTTTCTGCAAGCACGGCTGTCCCCAGGGCTGCTGGGGGTGGGATGTCTTGTTTTGGGGTGCCTTCCAGAGAGGGGGGATCGCAGTATGGCTGGAGACAAAGAGGAAAAAAAGCATGGGAATGTAAATTCACTTGCCCGAGGCCAGCAGAGAAACCTCTGAGCCTGTGCTTGCTGCAGCCACAGAGGTTGGTCACAGTGACTTGGGTGCTGTTTTGTGTTAGAGGTCATGTACCTTTGGTTGGAAATGCCCCAAAATGAACCCATCGTGTTGGCTTAGTTTCCGAAGCGGCGCCAGCTCTGGGGCAGCTCTTCACTTCTTGATTCTGCCTCGCTGTAGCCCTTGCTCACTTTACTGTGATTTTCTGAGCTTTCTGCAGCGTTCACATCTGAAAGAAACAGCCACCTCATAGGAAGGACTTGGAAATGTCACTTACTTGCATGGCGTGAAAAAATAAAAAGGGTGCGTGGGCTGAAATTTGTGCATCGTTAGTCACCAGGGTACCGCGTTCTGTGGGAACTGCTGCTTCTTGCTGTGCTGGAAAGCTCGTGGAAGCACGCGAGATGTGCCCTGGTTCTGAATCTCCCTCCAGCAGTCGTGGATTTGTCCCCTCAAGTAAGCTGTATTGCCAGGACAGTGCTCCACAGCACCCCTTTTGCTTGAGTTGGGCCGTCGATTTTGTTTGCTGTCCTTCCTCCTCCCCCAAGTCAGGATCATTTTTTGTCTGTGAACCCAGACTTACGGTGCTAAAACCCATGTTTCTTGTCTAACTGCCGCATTTTTTCTGTTCAGGATCAAAGGCTGGTGGGTGTCTCATCACTACGTTTCCACGTTCCTGTCTGGGGTGATGTTAACGTGGTGAGTCCGCTCTCACCTGCTCGAGGTGCTTCAAAGCCCGTTTCACCGTGTTTGCATCATCTGAGCATTTAAATCCAGCGTGACCACAAAGCTGTGGCCACGCGGGCACATGGTGAAGCATCACACTTAATTTTGTCTGATGTTACAGACATTTTCAATGATAAATACAACACTGCAAGTTTGTATTTACATTGCTGATTTAAAAAAACCCAAAAACACACACCAAAAAAACAAAAAGAAACAAACCCAAACCCTACGCTGTACTTGTGCTGATGGTACCAAAATCTCTGCAAGTCTCCCCGATTTCTGTCTCTGTGTAACTAAGCAAACAAGCAGCACTTTGCTTTAGAGGAAGGACACCACAAAATGAATACTGTTTGGTGCCTTTACTGAACCCAAATTACAGAGTAAAAAGCCAAAACTGCCACTTACCTTCCCACGGGTGGTGGTGTTGGCCAAACAGCGCGGTGGTGCACCCCGGGTACGGCCCCTCTGCAGCCTGTCTCAACTTTGGCATCAACTGATTGGTTAATAATTAAAAATTGTTTTAAAACAGCAAATGTTTCTGCTTATGAATCTGTAAGGGGATGACACGGTGGCCGGAGCAGGTGGTGCCGTATCCTCTATCTACCGTGAATTATCCTTAGGAGAAAGGAGCACAACCACCCCCTGCTCCCCCTCTTGGATTCTTGATGCAGATGCTCCTGTATGGCTTTGCTGCCCGGAGAAAGCTGCGATAAAGCAAACGAATAAGAGGGGGCAGCATTTATACATGTTGGGGAGGGGAAACCTAATCAATGGGAGCGCTTTTCACCCGATGTTCGGCTGTAGCTCCCTCCCTGGGCTCCTGGTGGGGTGGAGCGGGCTGGGTACCAGCTGCTTGGTTTGCTAATGGGATCCAGTTTGGCTGAGGAGGGGATGCGCGCGGCATCGTGTGCTTTTTATCAAACAAACAGACCTCCTTTGTATTTTGCTTTCAGGCCAGATGGACTCATGTATCAAATGTTTCGCAGTCAATTTTTAGCGTTTTCAATATTTCAGAGTGAGTATATCTTACCTTGCTAATTCACGGGATAAAATAGTTTTGTATCTTACGTGCTTAGAAGAAAACGCTTCTGCTTGGTAAATAGTGGAGAATTAAACTGTAGAAATATAAAGATAGAATACAAAAATACAATGTACAAATATAAACAATGATTAAATTCTCTTGGATTAAACATTATTAAAATGGTTTGATACATTTATCATACGTCTGAATAGCCAATGCGGCGATGTTTTCTCTCCTCCAGGTTGCGTTCAGTTCCTACAATATTATTATCAAAGGGGCTGCCTTTATAGACTCCGTGCTTTGGGGGAGAGAAACCACTTGGACCTTACAGTAGGTGAGGTGTTCCGTGATACTCTGTCTGCACAGGTTTTAGATGCGGTGACAGGGAGAGGGCGGTGTCACCTTCCGAGAGTGAGCTTTGCAGAGCTGTGTCCCACGGCAGAGAGGGGAGTGAGGCTTTTACCCCCCTCCTCGGGTCCTGTGCGTTGGGCGCAGAGGGCTCTGGTCTCCCTCAGCTCTTGAGAGGGTTAAGATGGAGGTTTTGCTCATCCCTGTCTTCATCCTCCTCCCATTACCACAACCTTCAAGTGTATTTTTTAAATTGGTTGGTTATTGCAGAGCAGGACAGGAATAATCCTTATGGGGTGGTCTGGGTGGGGAGGGCTGCAGCTCCAGTCCAGGCTCTTCTGCGCTCACTCTCTGCCTCTTCTGTTAACCTTTTCCAGAAGGATTTCAGTCCTGGATGTGGCGGGGGCTGACGTTTCTCCTTCCCTTCTTGTTCTTTGGGCACGTAAGTTGGGCGATCCCATTCCTCCCTCTGCGGCACAGGGCACGGGAGGGTCTGCCACTGCGGCTGCAGCACCATGAAAGGGTGCTTTGGATCACACACGTCTGTGGCAAATGTTTCTAAGGTTTTGGACTTTTTGCTAGTAATGAAATAGCTTTTTTTTGCTTTTTCCCCTTTGTAGTTCTGGCAGCTATATAATGCAGTCACGCTTTTTGGGTTGTCGAGGCATAAGGAGTGCAAAGAATGGCAGGTAGGTGTTGGTTCTGCTCAGAAAAAGCATGGAGCAGGGGGAGAGGGGGCGTTTAACCACATCCTTAAAGGTATTTGGGCATCTGACCCCATCTAAATATATTGGGACGATGTGGCACAGAGCAAATACACAAGTGACCGCACAAACTGAAAGGCAGAGCGTGTAGGGGCAAGAAAATAGTGGGTAAATATTTCTCCATATTGCTCGTGTATACAGGCATTTAATAGCAGTGGCTGCTGAGTTGCTGCTGGTTCTTTATGGCTGATCCATGGGTTACACATACAAAAATATGATGACAAAAATATGGCAGTGAATCATTTAAAAACGTATTATCCACTTTGTTGCCCTGCTTGTAGGGATCCTTCGACTTGTTTTCTCAGTTGCTGTCACCCATCAAACATGTCTGTCCCTTTTCCGGCTATACAATTGCTCCTGTAGATCCAGATTGGACCACATCACATGTGCAGATAATGTGATGGTCTTTGTTTTGGTCAGATCTTGCTGTAGCTCTTGTGCTTACTTTGTTCACTGGTGTAACAGGAGGAACGCAGCTTCCTGCAGAAACGTATCATTCCCCCATGCCTGTTCGATGAAGGTGCTTGTAGCGTAAATGTTAATCGCTTAGATTGGACTTGGAATCATAGAATGGTTCAGGTTGGAAGGGACCTTGAAGATCATCCAGTCCCACCCCCCTGCCCTGGGCAGGGACACCTCCCACCAGCCCAGGTTGCTCCAAGCCCCGTCCAACCTGGCCTTGAACACCTCCAGGGATGGGGCAGCCACAGCTTCTCGGGGCAACCTGCCCCAGGGGCTCACTGCCCTCACAGGGAAGAATTTCTTCCTAATATCTATTCTAAGTCTCCCCTCTTCCAGTTTGAAGCCATTGCCCCTCATCTTATAATTGCATGCCCTAGTAAAAAGTTCCTCTCCAACTTCCTTGTAGACCCTCTTCATTTAAATCATGATTTGATTTTGCTCTGGTAGAGTCTAGCAATGGTGAATATAATCCATGTTGTAATATTAAAAAGTAGTAAATGCTACTTAAGCGATCAGGATAAAAATATGCTTCCTGTTGACCCACAGAGCTGGATGTGGGAATGTGTATTTGGCTATGATCTTCTGTCCTCATGTGCTAACAGATCCCTGGACATACCAACCAACCCCCATCAGAGCTCACTTAAATGTGGCCAAACACTACCGTCCCTCTCACCCTTTTTTTTTCCTCCTCCTTCTCAGGTTTTCGTGTTGGCTTTCACGTTTCTGCTGCTCTTCCTCGGGAACTTCCTCACTACTCTCAAAGTGGTGCACACTAAACTCCAGAAAAACAAAGACAAAATGAAGAAGCTGTGAATCCCCCCACCCCATGCCGTTCCCCGGCGTGCTGGCTGCCGCCCCTCTGCCCGCAGCAGGGGCTGGCTTTGGGACGGATCCTGCTAAACCCCAACTACACAATGGAGGGGCTCGGAAGGACTCGTCCGTCCCCATGTTTGGTGCAGGATACGGACTCTGCCAGCACAGACTCAGTATTACACAAGCATGGCTCTCCAGTCCGCAGTCCTGCTATTTATGTATATTTAATACAAAACGTGTTTGCTTTTGGGTTGGTTTTTTTTTTTTTTTTCCTTTCTTTCTGAATATAGAGCAACATGCACCTGCCAGGCGAAGCGCCAGCATTGGGAAGAATGTGGGATCTACTGTAATTCCAATTCTGGAATGGTATTTAACACTTTCCAGTTTTATTATTTAAATTCTGGGTATTGGATTTGCAAAGGTTTCTGAACACTCCAGGTGGACCAGTAATGCAGACTGAATGTTGGTTTTTAAAGGCATTTGTTTAAGGCATATTTTCAGTGGCAATACTAACCTGTGTGTACTGTGGGGAAAAAAAAAAAAAAGATGCCCGTCTTTGTACAATACTGCTGCTATATACACTTTTAAAAAAGCTATTTAAACAGGAGAAATCCTCTTCTAAAAACAAAAATAAGCAAGCAAAACGAGTTGTTAAATGGCAGGGAAGTCCGCTAGCCTTCCTCCGGGGAGACCAGCTCATCTGTCCAGGCCTGGAAAAGACCTAAAATAAACCATTCAGTATGCAGCTGCTTCAGCCCCTTTTTAGTAACAAATATGCTGCCCTTTGGGCTGGTTTTTTCAAGACACCATTTTTCTTTAAAATGGCCTTGATCGGTGGCAGAAGGGCAGTTGCACTTCGGTTTCTGTTTTCAGTGGGTTTTTTTGCTCCCAGTGCCGTTCTGGAAAGGGGAGGACAGGCTCAGCAGAAATACTAAATACTTTTCTTTAGATGCTGCACTTGTACCAGTAATTACGAGAATGTAAACACTTGTTCAGAAGGAACGCGGAGGACAAATACTGCCTCCCGTCCTGCTTAACTTCTTGTGCTGCTTGAACTTAAACTTACTCATTCAAATAAGCTTGTTTTGGGTGCTTTGCCACCTGTACCTCCTAAGCCAGCTGCAGTATTGTGAGCTGCTTCAGGCAACGTCTTTCCCAAAGGTGAAGGCTCCCTTTGAGCCAGAACAGAGCCCAAATTGGGCAAATGGCTTTGGCAGAGCGTGATCCAAAAATGATGCCCTTCTCCCAGTAAGCGTGCTCATGAAGAAACAGATATGCACTGCAGACTTGAAACGGCTTCATCAGTTCCCCTGTTGCTGCCAGGTTAGCAAAATTACCTTTACAGTGTCACTGTCCTGTGGGCATGAAAATAAATTGCAATTTGTGTATTTTGAACAACTTTCACAGTAGCTGGGCTGTATCTTGTTAACTTTTGACTTTTGCATACCCTTTGAGTTGGGTTTTTTGTGGTTGTTTTTTTTTTTTTTTTAATCCTTTGAACTCTCCAAATGTAAACTGTTTTATTTTGAGTGTGATGCTAGAACCTGCTGGATCTGAGCAGTGGACCTGGTTCTCCAGGGGCGGGGAGCTCTGCACATGGTGAGTAACTCGAGTTCTGCAGCTTGAGAAACTGATTAAAAAAAGCCAGAAAGATTCCTGCCGTGGAGCTGAGGGTAAATGCGGTAACTTCCTGCATGTCGGTGTTTCGGTTTCATACTGGGTAAGGTGATGGGCGATTCTGTGTCTTTTACTGACAGATGTCTTCTCGTGGAGAAAGGGCTGCGCAATTCTTTGAGATTTTTCTATAGTCAAAGATGTGCACAAGCTTGTAACTTTTAAAAAAAATTTCTGTTTTAAGCTTATAGGGATTCACAAATCTTAATGAAATCAAAACAAGTTCGAGGAAGAAAAAAAACAAAGTAAGATTTCAAGGATCAAAATCTCTTTACTCTGCATGTAAAATAATAATGATGCCTCGCTCCAAAACAGTATTTTACCAGCTGGTCACGTAACCAGCAGAGGATAAACTCTGTATGACGTACAGTTGTCAGGCTCTATGTGCAAGCATTTATCCAATAGCAGATTCTTGGCACACACTGCCTTAACTTTTTGGCAAAAGGTTCTATCTTGTTACACGTCCTATGTACCCTCCTGTAGGATAGGCTGTAGTTTGCCTTATACAGAAAGCTTTCAGCAACACCTGTACGGCAAAAACCTCCTTCCTTCTCATGGGTTTGGTTTATACCATGGCAACAAGCTAGTGATTGCTCCCGAAATCTGCGATCTCACTGCATGGGATGTGCAAAAGCACTAGGAGATTTGAGGCACATGTATTAAGTTGTGCAGTCCGGGAGCATCCCTCCTCCTTAAACAGACAACTAAGCCTTCATGACAAAAGGGAAAATTTTAATTTATAACAGTAGAGATTGTTTCATTAGTTAATGAACATGAGTTCAGTATTTCCCCTCGCAGGCACCAATATTTGCATCTGTCATTAATTAAATAAGCAATAGAAGTTTATTGTAAAACTTTGTTACACATAGTAGCTGCTTGGAGTACTTCTGAGTGCTGTAAATACTTTCCATGGTGTTCCATTTCTGAATTGGAGCACCCGATGCATTTCCATTGACAAATACCTCTTTCTGTTCCAGCAGCAGGTCTTGCAAGGAGACCTCTACAGGTGTAGCTCCACCAAGCCGGCCCAGTAGTACGGGGGGAGTAGTGGGTGCTGTGTCTGTGCGCTCTGGGGGCAGCTTGAGGCTAACTCACACCACTGCCACCAAGTTAAGTTAATTTGAAAATGTTAAGACAGAACTTCATCTCTGTCTCTTCAAAGGTGCCTTATAAGCTGCTCTAACATCACTTCGTCTAAAAGATGTGGCTTTTCAGCTTTTCTTCTTGAAAATGACAGTAAGTTGTCACTGTAACGTGCCACAATTATTCTGCAGAGGAAAAAAAAAACCACTAATGAAGTCATATAGTAGCAGTCGCTGTTGCAATTTAAATAGTGAGTCCGAGACCTGACTGGTGGTTGGTTGCAGTGAGGAGCAAAAGCCAGATGGACAAAGTAATGCAGCATTGGTTAACATCAACAAAGAGCTTTAAAAACTTAGTGAGAGCCGTGCAACAACAGTGCAAAAATACTAAAAATAATTAAAATTTAAAAATATAAATTGTTCTAGGAATACAAACATGTAATGAAAAAAGATGGTCTTTAAACTGTTTTTAAAATCTGAATCACTTTGCTCTTGCGCAGTCAGTGCTCTCTTGCAGTCCAGATCATAACACTGAGCACACTGTCCGTTTCCTTTGGCGCTTGGCTTTTTTCATGGCATTCAGTGCAATGGTTGTTGCTTCTTTAAAAACATTTTCTATGTTTTCACGACATTTTGCTGAGCACTCCAGATAAACTTCTGCATTAATCTGCTGACAAGCTGCTTCACCCTGGAAAGAACAAAAGGTAAGGAAAGATGTAAACCTGATGTATGAAAGAAGGAAAGTGAGATGGGAAAGGGAATTATTTTCTACATCTTTGTATTGTGAGGTCAGGAAGAAAGAAGCTGCCTTCAAGTATAGTGCTAGGGTGTAAGTGGCATTGGTAATAAACTGAGGCACTGTTAAATAAACTAGGGTTTTTTCCCCTATGTTGATCTAGAGCCTGGCCTAACAGTTCAGTGCATTAGAGACTCAAAGATGCAGACTGCTGATAGTGTAAAAATATTTTCAATATTAAATTTGTTTAAAAGAAATGCTGAGGTAGATACTTAAGTGAGGATAAGATGCCTACATGGCAGTATTTTTTTTCAGGCCTGACCTTAACTATTATGTGATGTCACCTTTAGTAATAAATGTCACATGCAAGAGCAGCATCCAGACCAATGTCTTGTTTTTTGCTGGTGCACATGCAGGAACCCTGAATTTTGCTTTGGAGCATCACAAAGGCTCAGCCAAAATCCTCATATACACAAATGGGTGCCTGTGTTTCCCAACCTCGCCCAAATGCACGCAATGGGAACAGACTGGAATCTAAAACATTTGCATGCAATCCTGGTTATGCGAAATCACTACAGACAAAACAGTGATTTCTTACTTTGCTTCTGATCTTTTCATTGTCTTTGCAGAGTCAGCCCCCAGTTTTGAATGCTTGTGAGCCTTAGGGTGTGATTTCCAGGTCTGCAGCCCACAGCTCACAAACTCTGCATTTATTCATTATAAAGCCCTGAAGTGGGGTCATTTGAACACTCAGGCTTCTATAGGGGGATTTTTCTTCAGCATATTTAAGCTAAGTTTGTCTCCTTTCAGTTGTTTGCAAGCTGCAGTGCTGGCTGATATTGTTCAGCTCCTCTGTGCCTGGCATCGGAAGCATCGTGTTGCACGATTCGAGATGCCATCAGCTGTAAAAGACTGAGGTAGCATATATTTCAGGGGAGAAAAACCAAGTGGGAGGGCTCATGTAGGAGACAAAGTTTGTGCATCGTGTAGGCCATGGAATTTAATTTCATGAGGCCTCAGCAGACTTGCCAAGTGTCTGTTTCTTGCCCTGAGCCTCACGTGTGAGGGTGATGAAGGGAGATATTAATGCAAATGAGAGACAACGTGCAGTTGTTCACAAAGCAACAGGTCAGGCATCTCATCTTGTGTGTGAGCTCAAAGTCCCAGCGTGGTTTAGTGGTGATGCAGTTGCAGGTTTTTTTCCATGCTGTTTAGTAAAAGAAGTGATTCGTTCAAGGTCTTAGTGCACTTAACCTTGTTCTCTGGATTTGTGCCTCAAATGGTTCGAAAGCTGCTGCTCTTGCTCTAAGATGAGACGAGAAGGATGGCTTTGTAGTTTAAAAAAAAAAATGTGGGAGACTGGGGCAGAAAAGTCTGGTGTGACTTGGGCCAAACTGTTCCACCACTGACTAGTTCCTCTGTACCTAGGACAGCTATGCCAGTCTTGTAACACTAGTTGTAAGTCTCGCTGCTTTTTAATACTTAAATTGAAAACATTTGATAATATGTAGAGGTTTTTTAGATTACTTTAGAGACTTCAAAGAAAAGTCTCTTATGTTAGAGAAGCCTCCAGATGTTTTTGCTATTGTTCTTGAAAGGATTTATTTTCAAACAGGGTTTGCAAAACACATTTTTTTCCACAACAGTCAGTATTTTTAATCCTGTAAAGTGCATCCCACCACCTCCCGTTTTTCGCACAATCCTGACCTAAGTACCTGTGATGGGAGCAATGTATCCTAATAAAAATTATGAAGGGAGTCCAACAAACTTGTCGAGGCTTACAGATTTGTAATAGGAATAACCCAGCTGTGAAAGGAAACAAGAATGAGATGTAATGAGCCTAGAAGGTGTAGGTAGTAGTGTCCTTTCAGATATGCAAAGTGCTCTTCAAATTTCTCTTTATTTGGGTACTAAAAATGGGTGATGATTTGGCCACTTCCAAAACAGACTCACAGAAACCCCTGTTAGTGCTGACTATCAATAATTTATTTATCTGGACACTGTGATCACCTAATTGTGGAGTATTTGTGATTGTACTTGTGAGGAACAATGCCACTGAAGTAAGTGTGCTTTATCTCCTGTGACGAAGATAGCACTTTAAATGCACTTTTATTTACCTGGTTGTAAGTAATGGGTTCCTGCTTAGAAGCCCTCAGCTTGCGCAACTGTTCTTTGTCTTTCCGAAGGTCTGTCTTGCAGCCGATCAGTACCAGTGGGACACCTCGGCAAAAGTGATTCACTTCAGGATACCACTGATGGTAGAAAAACAAAACTTTTACATCTGGCTTCCCCCTGCCCCCCCTTCTGAAATCAAAGCAATAAAGCCACATATCAGAACCAGCATTTAATATATGCTGCAATTTGAGTTTTGAAAGCTGTTAGTCTAGCAGCAGGAGTCCAACATGCACTATTTACATTACAGAAACATTTAAAAGTCCTACCCAAAGTCAGTTGCTTCATAAAAACACAGGTGGCATCTGTTGCTATGCCAAAGCACTTATTTAACATCTGTTTCAATTCAGAAGAGCTCCTCTAAAGTTGTATTTAAAAGCAGAATTTGGACCAAGCCTTGCTTTGTTTTGCTGGTGCTGTGTACAGAACGCTAACTTCTACTTTGGAGCACTACAGAAATCCTAGTACAGACAAGGGGTTGTCTACCTCTCTCCTCGATCTTAAATATGCATGTGATGGAAATAGACCTGAACCTAAAATGCTTGTGTGCAACATTGGTTGTGTGACATCGCTACAGATAAAGCAGTGATTTCACCACTGGTGTTTGATGTTTTTAGTGCACGACGGAGTCAACCCCAGTTCTGAGCACTTTGGAGAGGTGAGCTCCAGGTCTCAGGTCCGTGACCTGCAGCTCAGCACATGATGAGTGATCTGTGCATCTACACGCCCAGGGTACAGGACAGTAAAAGCATCAGCTTTTTTAATCTGACATCTTGTCATACATCAGGCATATCTAATTCATTTAAAAGGTTGAAGCAATTACAAAAGCCTCTTACCTTAGCTGCTACGTTATCATAGCTAGTGGGGTTCATGACATCGTAACAAATTAACACGACATTTGTGTTCTGGTAAGAAAGTGGTCGTAGCCGATCGTAGTCCTCCTGCCCTGAAAGACAGAGAATGTTTTGGTAAAAGAAATCTTTGTCCTTAACAAGCACTATGATGGGAATATGTAAAGATACATACTTGAGATCAAGAGCAATATGGTACTGTAATTGCATAGATGGCAAGTTTTCTATACTTGTAAAATTCCTTCCCTTAAATGCAGGAGATTCCTCTTCACTGGCAAACCTCATGCTTTAGAATATAAAACATGTCCTTGGCAAGATTTAATAAAAAGCCTGCTTTGTCCAACTGCTAAGTACTTAGAAGCAGTTCTAATTGCTGATTGCCAAGTTGCTGCTCGCAAGCAAAATCAGCAAGAGGAATTTGACAGTTATCGATTAAAACATTTGCAAATTGGCAGTGGCTCTGTTCTCCCAAATACATTTGCACACGTGATGCTGTGCGGAGAAGAAACTCTGTATTTTCTAGATGTGAATGCTGAAGTAAAAATCTTAAGTGGCAAACTTGCTTTTTCCCAGCCCAGTGAGCTGAGAGGACGCAGCGATTAGCACGCTGTGCCTCCAGCACCGCTGCTCGCTGTAGCAGCATGCAGGTGATTTTACAAGACACACTGCAACATGAGCTGGGCTTAACTGGTCTCTGAAGCAGGACTACACAGATCTTAGGGATGCTGCTGAATTCTGGAAAAGTAGGGGCTTTGTCATACTTCTGATTAGGGGTATTCTAGCACGTGATCTGACAAGAAGCAGCTAATTTGCTTCAGACCTGTTCTCTTCCCCTTGCTGTACATATGACTTAGCAGTAATCACCGTGCTGGGGTCTGAAGGTGTCTGACTTTGATAAATTAAGTTCAAGAAAGCAGTAATTGCCAGACATAGTTGGCAGCTCAGGGAAAAAAAACAATCTTTTTGAGCTTTTTTTTTTGAGACTTAATAAAGAAGAAACTGTGATTTGAGCGGTCTGTAGAAGATCTATTTGCCACCTGAATGCTGCCCCTGGAATCGGGTACATCTCTGTGATACACTGAATTTCCATAAATGAGAACTGGGAATGCCATTCCTTCCCACAATCTAGCAACATGCGCACAGCCCGGAAACTGCCCTACAGGGCAGCTACACATCTCAGATCTTTTACTGGTATTTCAAATGAAGGGATGCTGAAAATTTCAGCGTGCCCCAACTTTATACCAACTACCTGCCCTGGGACCTTGCTCAGTCCCCAGGCACATCACTCTAGCCAACATGCTTGTCTCCAGTTGCAATCTGAAGAATTGCAGATACCAGAAGGCAAATAATTCTACAATACTTTGCCCTGCTCCTTAATTTAAATGATGGATCGAGATACAGCTTAATACGAGGCAATACTGGATAAGCCATCACTTAGTTTGCCTGAGATGTTTGTAAAGAGGAATCTTAGCTTTGGACCACTGTATTTGAGCTCCCGCAAGAGCAGCATCCTCTGTGGGCGAGGTGCAGAACAAAGAAGGATTGATTCCACAGTGTTTAATACAGAAATAATAGACCATTGACAAAATTATGCATGTTGTATAAACATTCAGAGCAAAGACTGTGCTGCTTAGCCCTTCTTATTCTCCCAAATCCACCTACTTGTTTGCAACCGATTTACCATTTTGTTGTTGAGATAATCCTCTAAATGCATTAACCACATCAGGGGCCAAACGTATTTTTTTCCCTCCTAACTTTCTCTAGTGTTATGCACTGTGTGTAATTTTCCCTGTTCGAGTTCATGCCTCTGAGCCTCTGCTAACGTGGTTTGTAAAAGCAAAAGGTCCTCCAAGTTATTGCTGGCAATTTGTGAGGCAGACAGGACTGTACCCTTGGAAGAAACACATTAGTTTGCCTGGAATCAGAACATACAGCTAAAACCATACCGTCCTGGATGGGGTAACAGAAGAGGTGTCTTCAATGATGTGACAAAAATATGCTGTATTGCAAGTCAAAAATGATAGATACGCCCCAGTGATCTGCACCTTCACCTTCAAAACCAGCTGTGCAGTTATGGTTTTTTAAGCAAACTGAGAAAATAAACGCATGAGAAAATGCTGCTGTGTAAGATGCGGTTCCATGCATATTTGGAATTTCAAATACAGAGCACAGAACAAGGTATAATGCAGAGACCACAGGGGGAAGGTTAGATGGTAATTGCTTAACTTGTATTATGGTCGGATGATTGCAGCGCCCACTTGGAAGGAGAGGAAGCTATTCTTTAAGAGCTCAGATGCAGTTCTTCAGTTGCTGAGGATGTAACAGACCCAGATCAAGCTGTGTCTAAACATCGATATTCCTCTCACTGAAAACAATCCCTTTCACCCCCTGTCCTTAAGTGCTGCTGATGAAAATGCAAGAAAGGGCCTGGGAGACTTTTTCTCTGTAAAGCTGCTCAGTCTGTGGTCAGAGCTAATTTGGCAGATTTAGGTCTTCTAGTAGAAGAGTTTTAAAATGAAGGAACGGGGCTGAACCTAAGCAGTAACTGAATGTATTATGCAAAGCACATAAGCGTGGTTCCTCAAGCACAGGTAGCTATTTTCTTTCCCACTTAACAAAAAGCATGCTGTGGAAGAATCGGTCAAATATATGCCTACGTTTGAGCATATCTGTGACTCTTCTGCCTTCCTCACTTCACTGTAGCATCAAAGACCCTGTTTGTTTTTTCAAAGAAAAAATTCCATCCAACTGAATTCACCTAAAACTTCCTAATTCTTTGCAAAGATCGCACTCCTGCATCCCTCTGACATGCTGCATAACCCATGTCTCTGCAGTCAGGCGCTGCGAGGGGGTGGGACCTCGGGTGATGGTTGAGGGTGAACTGGGGAAGAAGTGAAACCACAGGTCTCAGTCTCACGTTCACCTCTGTCTGCTCTCCCTCACCCCTTCACCAATTCACCGCCAGAGACGTGCAAGACTGACTTGCTCAGCCCATATATGAGTTCAGCATCCATTGCCATTGGCAGGAGAGGGTAAATGATAGTCAGGACTTGCCAGCCCAGGAGTCTACTGGTATGTGCTGTCCTAAGGTACAGCAGTACTGTTCATCACCACCAACTGCCAGCGGATCAGGAAGAATGTAATATCCTGCCACCGGGTCCAGACCAGTCAACCACTTCCTACGTATGGCCACGTGTTGTCTGTAATACTCCACGCTCATGGTTTACGATAGACATGGAACCCTGCGATGGTGCGCCCTCACAGGCACACAGAAAGGCACCCAATTCTCTTTGATGTGTTACTCTGCAGGCTCTGTGGGAATACCATGGTTATGAGCTTACCAGCTACGTTCTTTCCACTACTCAGTTCAGGAAACAGACATTCTTGGTAGCAGTAAAACCAGTAGATGAGAACACTTGGGGGAGGCACCCTTCAATTAAAAAGTTGTGGGGTTTTTGTCTTCCTCAGGCACGCCCTCCCTTTTAAGTTATGAAAAATTATCCTTGCACATACCACCTTTTAAAATTTCTCTTAAGGCCTGACTGCTGCGCATCTGTCATTACAGACCTGAAAAACCCTGCTGGAGGCTTCGCCTGTGCTTCCTGTCAGTCAGAGCGAGCACCCACAATGATGAGGCACGGCTTCCTCCCCAGCCTTCCCCAGCTCAGCACAGCTCTCTTCTTGGGTCTGAGAAAGCCCTGCACCCTGCAGCAACAGAAATTGAACCTTTACCTGCAGCTAAAGCATCAACACCACTCCCTGAGTATGTAAAAAATTAATTTACCTCTTAATGCCTTTGCCTCTACCGAGCACGGCAAGAAATGGAAACTTTTAATTCAATAAGCAGCTGCAAAGCCAGTTTGCAGACGAGACAAGTGATATTACAAAGCCTTTATGCATTGCGTATGTATACCACTAACTTCCTGCAACAGCAAGAGGTGTCTCTGTTGCGGAAGACAGTAGCAGAGTACAAAAGTCTCACAAAAAAAAAGTCATTCTAGCATATTTTAGACTAACTCATTAACTTCATTTGTTACTAAAATTCTTGTCAAGAAAAAAAAATAACTTTTGTAGCTTGAAATGGTGGATTCTTAGGCACTTTGTGTCCTTTACCTTCAGTAAGTAAAACAAGCTCAAAGTCTCAAACTGCACAGGACTTGACAATACAAAGAATCCTTCTGACTTTAAAGAGCCCACAGAGCTGAACCTGTCCTTTACCTTCCCATGACATGCAGCTCTATTTAGTGTTACTCCTAGCAAGATCCTAAAAATACCGAAGTCCTTTCTACAGCGGGTGCATCACAAAGATGCAGTGACACTTTTTAGAAGAACAGCTTTGTTTTCTTCCCTGCACTGCTACATGGCACTTACCTGAAGTCCTTCACCCTAGAGATCGTTTTACATCCTTTTGATCCCATTTAAATGATTTTATGATCATCTGCATGATTTGGGAGCGTTTCAGACTGAGAAGCAAAAGACAAGCATAAAGCTGTCTTAGGATTTTAGAGAACAGCAAGACCAGCTTAAGCAGTTCATTAAGTCAGAAGATGATTCATAAAATATGGCTAATATGCTGCACTGTTAAACCAGTGTACTTCCAGTAGTAAGGTGTACGTTTAGACTCCTCTTTAAGGTGCAATTGCTGCTGTACACTCACCCCAGACCATCATCACCCAGTGGAGAGAGGAATTCAATCAGTTGCTGCTGCACGATACAACAGAAGCAAATGAACACAGTGAAACACCGATTCCAAAATTGCACCTCGCCTGCTGCATCGGCACAGCAGAGGGACAGGAGCTCTCTTCCCTCCTGAACTGGACACTCCCCTTGCTCTGCTCTTACTGCACTATTTGAACTTAGAAGACAGGACACAAGTCTTGGTGCCAGTCTAACCCTTAAGAAATTCAACATCACTGTCGTATTATTAAAAACAGGACGGGATTAAAATGTGTGCTCAAGTGAGTTCTTCCTTTAACATAACTTTCAGCCTCAGAAAGAGGATGAAAAGCTGCTTGAATTACAGAGTATGACACAGATCTGTAACATAAAACTATGTAAGCAGCTTTGAAACAGAACCAAAACTCAAGTCTTGCCCCCTCTCCAGCAAATGCCTTAACCAAGGTGGCAACGTCCCCCCTTTCTTTGCACCTGGTAATCCTGATGTGTCCCACGCAAAGCAAAAGAAATTTAACAGGAAGGAAGGAAGGAGACAAGAGTCAGCATCCTCCAGCAACTTGCAGCCTGGTGACCACACACTGTTGTGGGAGGTGCAACATGTTCGGTTTCAAGGTTTCCAGATGAGAGATGGAAAGCGATTGCACTTTCATGGCAAAGAGCTCTGACAACTAGGCAACGATGGCATCTCCACTCCCCAAAGTGTCTTACGAGACACAAAATACACCCCGCTCTGTTCTTCAGTGGGGCAGTCCAAGGCAGTATTTATAGCTGTGAACTAAATGTGGAAGAGTAGACACTTTCTGCTAAAGTTACATGCCTGAACAAGGAAACAGGGTAGGACAAGTCAACAGCACCAGCTTCAGCGAGCATTCTCCGGGCTGCTGGTGGCTGTAGGTCTTGCACAGAGCTGAGCTCCCTGCATGATGGAAGGAGTTGGGCACTTGTGTCAGGCTTGCGAGAGTTTAGTGCTGCAATATTGAACTTGCCCTACCTACCGCTGTTTCTGGATCCAGCCCCTGTTCCTTAAAGCCTGGAAGAGACTCTAAAGGCAAACGTTGGCAACTGCAGCTTGATTTTAAATGAGCCAGCCAGGTATCAAGAACTGTGTGACAGGCAAAATTCCACGTTGACAGCGAACAAACATAAAAACTCGACAAGTTCACTGTGGCAAGTTCTGTGGTGCCAACACAGTATATTAAGGAAACCCCTCTTTCAGCCCTTCTCTTTCCTTTAAAACTTAAACATAAGAGCCTTGCCGTTCTGTAGAAGCTACATTATCTAAATCGCTGGATTCAAGAACAGTAACATTGACACAAGATGATATATTGGGAAATTGGGTGCTCAGTATCTTACCATACTGCAGTAAAGATCAGCAATAAAATTCACTTTTAGATTAAAACCCTTTAAAATCATCTATTCAGATACCATGTATGGTATGCAAGAAGGTGTATTTTACTACTATTAAAAATTAATATGGACTGTATTCGGTTCTTATTTGTCTTGGTGTAAATTTGGAACAACTCCACAGGCTTGAACTGAACCAGGTGATTTACACTGAGCTGAAATGGAGCGTGTGTCAATTTTAGGGTTCGTTTAGGAACACAGCTGGATAACAGAGTCTAGGAACTTTGAATGAAGCTGAACACAAACCATTTCACAAGTTCCCAAAATGAACCTGAACAAACTACCAGCATTTTCAAATAACTTTTACTACTACAGCCTTTTTATTTTGAACACAAACCAGCCTTTTTCTCCTTCACTATTCAATCACACGTGGCAGGAGATTAAAATATTTTCCTGGTTGATTGTATTATGCTTTGCATCTGGGAACTGGGTTTTAATACCTTCAGATATGTTTGTTATTTGATGCGATTTTTCTTAATAAACTGGGTTGTTAAGATAATGAACGAGCCCATAGCTAAAACTGCCATTAGAGGAGTGACACTTTTTTTCTGGAGGGCACATTTATGCATGGAACAGGTAACAGTTGTTGTTTTGCTTGTACTTTAATCTCTAGCTGTCTTAACTGCGCTATCACACTAAAAGCATGCTCATGGAAAAGCAATTTTAAAATACGTCCAGCTTTACAGGCTTCAAGTATCAGCCCGGTTTAAGTTGACACAGCAAAAGCTGCTGGAAGGGAAATACGGGCACGTTCACAGGAGCAGCGTTTTACACCGTTAAAAGAAAGTTTCTGCGTATTTCCCTGAAATTACGAAAAACCCCGGGGCTGGGTTTGGGCCCTGTCCCAGGCCGCGCACAGACCGCCTCCGCCAGCCCTGGGGACATGGAAAGCATGACCTCAAAAATACCCTTCCCCGAAAAAAACAACCCTTACCTGCGGTATCGTACAAATTAAGGGTGACCTCCTTTTTGCCCACCGTAACGCTGGTCGTATACTTCTCGAAGACGGACGGCGCGTACTGCTGCAAAGGGAGGAGAAGCGGTTGTAGCCGGGGACGGGCAGCCCCTCACCGCCGCCGCCCTCACCGGGCGGCCCCCTCAGCCCCTCGGGGTGCCGCGGCACAGCCCGCTTACCTCAGGGAAGGCGCCCTTGGCGTACACCATCAGCAGCGACGTCTTCCCGCAGCCGCCGTCCCCCACGATCAC